TGTAATGAAACAAAGAAGCTGGGACATTTCCGAGACAACTCTCCCTGAATACATCACAGTGACCAAACATTAGACTGTATAATGGAGTGGAAAATGTATGCTGCGAACTCTGCTGATGAGAACACAGCTGATGAGAAATGTTAATCATAATGCCTAACAGTAACATGTGATCACTGGTTATGATAATTCTGTGACACGGATTAAATATAGCGGAGTCTGTGTTGTGTGAAGCGTTAGGAGGGTGAATGCAAATAGCAGATATACCTCAGGATCACGTGTGCAACAACTGTCTCCCAATAGCCAAGGGCCGTCAGCTTTACATGCACCAACAAATTACATACTGATGTTCCCACGCATGATTCTACCGCCTCAGTTCTTCATAAAATACTGTTCAACTGCCTGCAAATATGTCTGGTTTCATAACTCTATGGTTTAGGCACACATGCGTGCACAGAAAACCAACAGATACAGACACTGCACGGGACACAGCATGTGATAACAATAGTAACTTGACATTGTTTCCCTCACCCCCAGAGTATAAAACAAAAGGGAAAACCCAACTTAGTCCATTAGTTTGTGACCCTCGGGTCTTGATATCTTAGCAGGACTCTTGCACAGCAGAGAAACTTAAACCTTCAACACTTATGTGAACCTTCAGAGATATTATAGCACGCTAACTACTGATAAAACATGAGGGTGATATCTTGTATGAAAGGGCTGGTCCTGATATGGGTGATAACAAACTTTTTCTCTCTACTTTCTCACGATAAATGGACTGACAAATAGCAACAATAACAGCAACGCGACACAGCAGATTTCTAGCTCCGTACCATCAATCATGGATTTGCTTCCAGTCAAAGGAAACTGATGGGATGCCAATGGTGCCATAAATCTAGATTATTATAAAATATTATAAAATAATGTTGTATCACTTGATCATTTCTATATATTCTAGCTCATAAAGAAGTACTTGTGATGCACCCCTGAGTCTGTGATCAGCAGAAATGCAGATGCAAGAATGCAGAATGTTTTTCCTCCATCTCATGCTACTGCAAGTCAGAAATGCTTGATACAACAAAATACTAAATCTGCTGTGTTTCCACATACAGTTCTACTTCAGTCTGACTTAGTAGTCTGCCACATTGAGGGTTTCACGCTCATGCCTTTGCTATGCCATTAGTACGTAAAATAAGAATAAATATACCTCAGTTTTAGTGCCTCTCTGTTCACCGTGCATGGCCTTAACGTTTTCACTGAACAGTCAAATCAGCAAGAATAATGGCTCACTAAATGGACCGTATACCACACAAAATTCAAATGCTGATAAAGAACAGCGCCGGATGCTCACTAATTACACCAACCCACCCACTCAAGTTATACATGCAAAAGTGTAACCATAACAAACACAACAATAGTGAAACTACTGCACGTATATCCAAAACATGTAGCATCAAAAAGCCAATACTGCTCAAACTGAGTATTATAAAAGCATCCCTCTTGACAGGTGCATGTTTGAGAAGGTGTACATCAAGAGTAGAATCAAAAAATCCTACATTTCTGCACTACATTAAGAAAATAACCCTAACACATAAAAATAGTAAATACAGTAATAATCATCTTTAAAATATATAACTATGTATAAAAGATACAACTGCCAGAGGCCTGATGAACTGAGTCTACTGACATTAGATTATAACGTTGTCATGGTCTACACACTGACAACAACATCTGGCTATTAGGGTCATTGAAGGGCTTTTTATTCCTAAACTGGATGTACCAATAAGTGCCAGTTGTTTTGTCTACCTCTGTGGCTGCATTCATACCTGAATAACAGCTCTTGTTGTTTATGCAACTCACTCCTGGCTAAAATGTCAACCCTCTACCATAAACACAACCGAGCAAGGCCCTGACGAACCAGTGTCCCTTTACTTCAGCAATGCTAGGTGCGTTAGCCATCGCAGCTAGCCACTGAACTTAGCAAGCGTGCTAACATCTTTCAGGACAGCACAGCAACAGCACACGTCAAAGCTAACGTTAGGCAACACAGCAGAAATGACTGTGCTCGTTGTTTAATAAGCCCATGAATGTGTATTTGGACAGTTTGCTAACTTAACGTTAGCCCTGTGAGAGAGGGAGCTCAACCTTACCCTTTCTGCTGCGGACTCGGTGGGGGTGACAGAGCCGACAGCGTGCAAAAACAATCCCATTTTCAGAGCCGAACATACGCCTCTCATTCCTCCAAAAAGTGGCTAGAGCTAGGGCAAAAACACGCGCATGTAAACGCTGTTGTTCACAAGCTGAGTGCGAAATATCCTCAACTATTTCTCGCCCCCCGTCGCGCCGAGAGGCCGCTGAATGCGCCGCCTCCTCTGCGTACTGGACATTTCAACAAGGCACGGAGCTGGCGCAACTGGCTGCTGTCGGTGCCACTGGTTGATACAGCTGTTACACAAGCCGCTCCTCCAGCACAGGCACTCTGCCTCGCTCTGCTGGGTGTGGCGTGGTCACCTCGACCCGATCCATGTGCGCAACGTGATGGGCGTTCAGTTGAGTGGATGGCCTCTGGGTTTGCGGACTGACCTGCGATTGGACAGCCGGGGAGAGGGTGACCAATCACTGAGCGGTGCGTCTCCAGTGCATGGCCTTGTTGTCTTCCTGGGTTCCTCTTCTCTGGTTTCTGGACACACATGTTCTAAAGACTGTGGGCTTCCTCATGATCCAGTTACAAAACCTTGTAATTTTGTTGTTACTTTATTTGACAGGGACAGTGCTTATAAATTACATTTCTTACAGTTGGCGAATCAAAGTTAAAAAGTTAAACAACAGTGTTGGGAGAGAGGTTCTACATTGTACCAGAGGCCAGTAAAATTCATAGCCAGTATGTCACTGGTGTACAAGCCAGTTTATTCTGCAACAACAACTTTCTTCTCATTTCAGCCTAAAGCTTGTAGACATAAAACAGTTGAAAGTCAACTAATGTGCAGTTCTGCATAATGAAAGACACAGGAAGAGATCTATTATTATCCTTTGGTGTGTTATTACCATTACTCATCTTTCATCAAATATACAGTGTCAAGCATCTCCCATTTTAAAATAACTTTAAAGGGCCAGTTCACTCAACTTGCAAAATTACATATTTTTCCACTTACATCTGGTAGTTTTGGGATTGTTCAAGTTTGAGATATTGGAATTTTAAACATTTGCAATTTTGCATTTGCATTTACAAACGGACATTTATGCCATTTAAAAGGAAGAAATGTATGTTTTAACAATGTTACTCAGCTTAATCCAACTACCTTCTGTTGAAGAAACCGTCCAGATAAAAAATAAAAATAGTAATACATTCATTGCATTTTATTGAGGTGGCAGTATTAGTTTCAATTGGTGGACATCTCATACGACTTAAACAATCTGGAGGGACATACAACTAGTGTTAAGTAAGAAAATATGTTGTTGTTTTTAGATTTGAGTGAACCCAGCCCTTTATTCTGTATTCAGCATTTAAGTCCAACAGGGCTGTTACATGATCTGTGGAGCAGTACAACATCCTTAAAATGAATTAGTTTGAGCATAACTGCAGTTTCCATTGTCATCATCATTCATCATTCGTCGTGATTTTTATTTACAACCAGGAAAGGCACTGTGATTTGCTTTTAGTGATAAGCAGATCATCACCAGTCCCTTTCATGAGGCTGTCTGTACGGTACCCCTAAAAGACTAAAAACATCCTTCTCTGTCGGTGTAGTAAGTGCAGTGCCGCCATACACCTTTAAGCTACCCTGGCGCACCACATTTTCATTCAGCGAGTGCTCTGACAAGCTCATGTTTCTTGTCTTCGCAAGGGCTCTCAATGAGCGGTTGAAGTGTGCCGACCCGGTGAAGTACATGAGAGAACAGGCAAACTCATTGTAGGGCACCACGATGATGTCCAGCCTGCGATGGCGATGGCCGGGTCCTGGCAAACGGCACACACCCATGTATTTCTTCTGCTCTCCATTCTCCTCGTGGCTCAGCAGGTCGTCTGTCAAAAACCCTTCAAAATAAACAGTTTTTTTCAGTTTTTCTAAAGGAAATCAACCCATGAATAAGACACGAGAAAACCATCAACACCAGCTTACCACTGTCATGGAGGCTCTGTAACACTTTGCTGAAAACGCCCTTGTGAGACTTGCCATCAGGATGAGATATAAGTACATCAACATCTCCACATGTGGCCTTTCCCCGACGGTAGGAGCCGCATGCCATCGCCACCAGGTGTGGGTCTATGGCCTGGACAGCATCCCTCACCTGCAAAACACAAAATAGAGGCTGTCATCTATCCTAGAGTGATGGAGCTTTTTTTAAAGGTCCAGTGTGTAGGATTTAGTGGCTTCTAGCGGTGTAGTTATAGATTGCAACCCCCTCGTTTCACCTATACCTTCCAAGAACAAAGGAAAAACTACAGTGGCTGTGAAACATGCAAAAAACACAAACACCACTGTGTAGAGTCAGTTTTTGGTTTAAAATGTTGATTCTAAGGTAACAGAAACATAACAATTCCTATATTCAGTTTTTACCTGTTTCCAGCCAAATACTGGGAGGTAGGCTCGCTAAAGCATCACATATTATTTTGACAAGCCTGAGGGAGTACACATGCTTTAGTCATCTATCTCATGTGCACTTTCTATCTGGCAGCTTTGGAGGAAAAAGAAAATCCAAGTAATACAATATGAAAACAACTAGCGTTGTACTCAACGCTCTGGAGTGAACAGGTTTCTGGCTAACTTAAGATTCAGCAACTTTCAAGACTAAGTTTTCCCCTTTGGGATGCTCCACTTTGAGAACACAGTCTGGTTTTCCCATTACCAAACAGTAAAGGAAAGCTGACTTTTTCCTACTTCAAGACTTCTGTTTCCAGAGTTTTGTGGGTTAGAGGTGGATTCTTTTTCAAAGAGATCTCACCTATGTAAAGTTGACCAAACAACCTACTGAAGTATTGAAAGATGCAAACATATTTCAGTCGTCATCACAGAATGATACAAGCAGACAGTGTGACAAATGAAGATACACTACCACTTTCTCTATGGCTGCGGCTTCTTCTCTGGGCATTCGGTCTAGAAAGTCATTGTAGTGCTTGAGTCCTATCTTCTGAGTGTTGCTTAGGTGGGCTTTTGTGCGGATGTCCTCCAATGTGCGAAATCCCTAAAAGGCAGACAACACAGAAAATTTAACAGATTATCTGTCTCATGTCTATATAGTGAGAGTTTCAGCAAATAAGAGTTTGTTTTTTAAAAATGACCTACTGACAGTTTACAATGTTTTAGATCAGGATTTCTTAAATCTGCTTTTTAAATAGTTATGCCAAGATAGATATTGTGTGGGACATACAGTTCAAAAATAAACTTGTCAGTTCTCTCTGGTGGACAAACGATTCATTAGAGACACTGTCTGATATCATTGGCCTTACTGCACTACAATTTTTTACACAAATACGGGCCTGGTACATTTATCAGTCAGGCTGTAATCCAGAGTTTCAATCTGGATTGTATTAGTATTATTTGACAAATCTGTTAGTACAAATAGATGTCTGTGTCGTAAATTGTACTGTGATGTGAATAGCCTAAGGGTAAAGAAAACAGTCTAGTCGCAAAAGAGGAAGTGCAAGCTCAAAAGTCTTTCAACTTCAAGCTGTCACGTTAAGACAGTATCAAGTATGTCTGTAATATTTTGAGCGGATGCGTGTGCCTCACCTGTTGGTACCACAGCTGTGCAGTTTTAGCTCCTGCACCCCAGATGTTAGTAAAAAGCTCCAATACTGGCACAGCCTCCCCGATGTGATCTAGCTTCCGCAGGTGACCACTCTCCATGATCTCATCAATTTTGTCGGCCATGCGTTTTCCAATTCCTGGGATCTGACAGGCCTCCTAATACAAATGAAAAAAAAGTTCTGATTGAAAAATGAATAAAAGCACAGAAATCCCTGTATTGTACTTTTTTTGTTGGATAACAGATTATTTTTACACATGACTGACACTACCAACAACATAATATTAAAAGTATCTGCATTTGGTTACCTGATATGATGTAATAGGCTTGTGGTAACTCTTCAGTGCGTTGACAGCCTTGGAGTAGCCCAGCGCTCTCCACTTGTCCCCTTGGTGTGTGTAGGCCTTGGCTAGCACTTCTAGTTTGTCTGTGATGTGCTTGTTGAAGTTTTTAGTTTTGGACTGAGAGGACTGGGCACAGACCCACTTCCCTGAGAGCACCTTCTGAGCAGCAGAGTCTGAACCGGGTTCAAGGCTAGGGCAAGGAGTCTCCTCTTTGGGGTGCTGGCCAGTGATAAGAGCTTCCAGGTCACTCTGAGAGACCCCGTCTTCTTCTGCTCGCACGTCCTCTTTCGTGTCTGGGACCGCCTGAGAGTAAAATGTAATGTAAATACTATAAAAACAATCCAGAGCACAAGCAGACTTGTTGTTTTTATGTGTTCAAGGTCTAGCTTACCACATCTATGGTCTCCTCTTGTCTGGTTTGATCAGACGCTGGTTCTACAATAGTTTCTGCAGCAGGCTTGACAGTCGACAACTCTTCTTTAATTTTTTCATGCCCTGTTTCAGATTCCCTAAGTGGAGAGAAACGGTTTGTAAATTCTTACATTTTCAAGCGGTAAATGTTGAGTAAAAAGTAGATTTTACCATGGCTTTCTTCTCCATATTGACAAGCACTTTGTATGTGATAAATTGCAAACACCATGAGAGACAGGTAACAATAGCTTTCTTACATTAGCATTCTAATAAGGTATTATTACCTCTTAGGTAAAAGAAGGCTGTAGCTGGCAACATCCAGCAGTTGTTTCTCACTGATGCACAAGCTCAACCAAGTGCATTTCACCAGTTGGACTCCAGAGGGCATACAATCCAGTCTCAGTAAGCGCAGAGCCCTGTCCATGTCCATGTTGTCGTCTACAACAACATGAGTGACACTGGGACACAGTGAACTCTCTGTCTGTCCTCCATTCTGCTGAATTTGTCTTTGGAAGATCTGGTATCTGGCATTTCCTATTCCAGCAGGGAGGATGTACACTGTGACACCATTAAAAGTGTTTCCTGGGACAGAAGAGAGGAATGCGTTACAATGAGAGAATATGTTGCACTTTCTGGCTTCTACTTTGGTTTTATCAGATAATCATAAATGATTCACTTTCACTCACACGCACACAAACACAGTAACAACCTGTTATATCACAATCATCGGGTTTCTTCTTTGCTGCGGGTGCATCCTTTCCGTGATACACTTTGGCTCTTTTAACTTTGGGAAAGGCTTTCATAATCCCGTGACGAGGCTCCATCTTGTCTCTTGAAGGGGGACGCCAGTGGCCTGTGACATGAAGCATAATTATGAAGATATCAACGACTTTTTGGAGTAAAACCCAAACACAAATCAGGAACACACGCTGTATACTACTAATTATACACAATACTAATTTAACAGTGTTTGTATGTAGTGCATTCACTCTGGACAATGGAGTAAATTTAAGTATTAAACAATTGGCTGCTACTTATTTTAATTTTTTTTTTTACTTTTCTGTAGTTTTACAATTTGACAGTAGTAATAGTTCAGTGTAAGAATACTCCATTAAAAAGGCCCTGCATTCAGAATGTTAATTACATAAAGGTATGTGAGTATTATCATCTTAAGTATCAAAGTAAAAGCACACAGTACCAGACAGAGTGCAGTCATATTATTATTCCCCGTTTCATTATTACACACTATAACAGATAACATGATCATTCATGTTGAAAGTAAAGTATTCATTTGCAATGTTACAACACTTTCCTCTGAAGTGTAGTGGAAAGTTCATCAAAAAGTAGCATAAACTCGATACTCAAGTAAAGTACAAGGACTTCATATTCTCGTAGCCTACAACTGCACAGCACTGTCAACATCAGTGTATGCTTTATAATATCAGTACATAGTATCAAAGTTGGGCACAGGAACAGCAAAGAGTGTCTCGGCTTGTACTCAGTGCAGATATCCAGCTGGTTCACACCACAGACTGTCAATGGTTTCCACAGAAGTTAACGTAATGCTGTTTAACCAGACTGAAAAATCAATCTGTGTTATTACAGCATTGTATTAGCTAGCTACCTTTAGCACATGCTAACGTCAGAAATAGCAAACAGTCGGTGTTTCAACCATCATTTCTACACATTATTTAAACACCGCTGTATATATGGCACTGTAAGTGTACATTTGGAGCAGAGAAGCAGCAGAGAAGCAGTAATATTTGGGCTCTTACCCCTCTGCTCAGATGGAACCATACATACGACACCGTTCCATTCTAATGTTTCACTTCCGGGTCAATCAGCTGATTTAACGTTAGTTTTGTCTCAAATTTAAAGTATACCCAAAATCGACATATAAAATCGGGTTGTTTCAAACAACTTTCGCGATGATATAACGTTAAAGATTAATTCTATGAATATTTTTCTATTTAGTTTGTCGGTTACTGTGGTAACGGATTGAGTCCGGAAGTGGCCCTGAGAAACAGAAACATCTTTAGAACAAACATGGCTGTGCAAAGCTGGATTGATATCCTACAATCCTCAAAGAAAACAGCGTTGATACACGATGGTGAGTAATTACAAAGAAGAAAAACAAGCTTCAGCAGTAGAAAGAGTTTACACTCAGACAGAAGTAGCCTTGTTATTGTCACTCAAACTATTAGCTAGCTTTGCAGCTAACATTAATGTTACTAGGCAACAAGCAGGTGGCACAGCTGCCCCTGTAGCATATTACACACGTCGTTTTAACACAAGTAGACAGTAAAACACGTAACAAGTACAGTATTTTAGTATAAAAAAGTAGTTGCAATGTGACTCACTACTCTCCGGGTGTCTTTACAGAAGTATTTCACCTAGCTAACCGAGCTAACTCTAATCAATGAGTCAGGTCTGCCTTCTTGTTAGCATCTATGCTCACTTTACACTCATCCCTGAAGCAATACTACTTCCTTTCTGTTTACAATTACAGCTGTTTTTATTTGGCCAGAAGTGAATTAAAAATCGTAGTTGGCAGAATGAAAGAAACACTGAATGTATTGCTTCTATCCTAAGAATGATCACAGTGTTGCTCTGTTAGTACTGACACTGCATGCTTTGTGGTATAGCCAAACTATAATTATACTGTTCTGGTTTTCTAGTTTGTATAAAGATACATCTTTACAAATTCCACCTCCAGGAAAAAGGAAGATCCATTACCTTTTTACAGACGGAAGAGAAATGGCAGAAGAGTATGACTTGAAAACAGATGAGCTCATTGGTAAGCAACAGCCTTCTCAACCATGTAGTTGTTGCATTCTGAATTTCAATGGTATACATTTATGTACCTTTTATAAAACGTTTTGTGCTTTTCAGTACGAAAGTGGCGTCATAAAAGCACACTTGGAGCTCATGGAGAATGGCAGGTAGAAGTTGGGGAGCCACTTGCAGGAACTGTCACTTCTTTGGATTCGGAGATGATCAAGGAGAACTGCTCCAATGTGGGTTTTCTTCAATGTTCTCTATGCCTTTGACTTTATACTTACATTAGACCCACTTCATCGTTTAATGTGCTTTTTTGTTTGTTTCAGTTCACTTTGATACCCATTAGAGAAAACACTAGTGAATGTTAAAGATTTCTGTTTCCACAGCCTGTGTTCATGCGTAAAGACACAAAGACCAGCTTTCAGTGGAGAATCCGCAACCTCCCCTACCCCAAAGATGTCTTCAGTGTTTCTGTGGAACCGTCTGAAAGATGCATCATCATAAAAACCTCAAACAAAAAGTAAATATGCATGAGAACACATGGTTCTTTTCATTCCTGTGTTGTACACTTGTTCCATGTAATCCTCGTGTCCTCCCTATAGGTGGCACTGTTTACAATACATTTGTCTCTACAGTGGTGTGATAAACCTATGACATCCTCTCCATGTCTTCGCAGGTATTATAAGAAGTTCAGTATTGTTGATTTAGATCGCAGTCAGCTGCCATTGGACAGCTCCGCTCTCACCTTCACTCACACCAACAACACTTTGATTGTCAATGTAAGTCCTACACTGCAAAGAACAATAACCTAATGCTTTAAATATAAAATAATGTAAGCATCAAAGGTTGATAGATGAGACCGATCTGTATTTTTTCCAAAGATAATCTCCCATAAATCATCCTTTCTTGCATTAGACAAAACTTTAACTTTGTTTATTAAAGCATTTTATGCAACTTATAAGGATGAGATGCAAATGTTGTCGTACCACTTAACTGCAACGTTTTTTTTGACATTACAACAATATGTTTCTATGCCTACAACCGTTGCTATATTTGTGGTATTTGCTTTGTATTTTGCACACTCTTCCATGATTACAGTGAAGGATTTGCAGCAGGGAGAAGCAGAGAAGATGGCAAGAATGTCGAAGTAATTATTTTTCTTCTCTCTTGTCCAGTACAAGAAACCCAAGGAGATCTTAACCCTTGAACAGGAGCTGCTGAAGGAGCTGAAGAAACTGAAGGGGACCGGTGAAGGAGATGTCGACTGTAAAACTCAGTGAATTCTGACTGTGGGAGCAAGAGGATTATTCTGCGTTGCATTTAAAGAAGTCAAATGTGAGCGTTTAATTTTTCTTTAGTGGATCCCTTCATTGCAAAAAGCACAGTGCCTTCCCAATGCTTCTATTTGTGTTTAGTAACTGGGGTCAATTTACTAGAGTTGTTAGTGTTGAAATTTGTCCTGTCATTTATATTTGATACAGAAATATTCATTAAATATATTGTTTTGCAGTCTCACAACCGGAGTTATTAATATTACGTTTCCCCAAATGATTTCTTTCACAGAAAAATAATTTAACAATTTACATAAAACCTTTTGTAGGGAAATTTAAAATTGTATCACAACAGTGTCTATTTTTGCAAACCTACCAGGGAGCAATTTTGATGGGGTCACATAACCTTCCACCCTCCTTTCATTGATGTTCTTGTAAAACACTCAAAACACACAATGCCTCATCCCTGTTCGTTCCAGGGTCACTCTTACGAGCACATCCCATTTGTGTTAACTGAATACCCTCATGTTCCTTGCATGTAGGGGGCCACCCTGAAAGCCATTACTGGAGCTCTGGTCAGCGAGCAAGCAAGCTAGTGTTACTGTTTCCCTTTACAACGGAGGGTCTCCCTGACCCTGTGGTCTCCAGCTAAAACTCCGTACACACAAGCAAGAAATGGGTGCAACTGTTGCTTTGTTCCAAATGGATATCTTGTTATTGTCTAACAAATATAAAGAAGGTATTTCATGCATTCGGATTTTTGAAGTCTATGTATATATGAACATGTACAGATGGGAAATGATTGTATAGTAGACCCATGGTTCCAGATGGGATGTCTGTCTACTTTTTCACCAAGATCAATTAAGTAAAAACATTGTCGAGTCAGAAAATACTTAGACAGTGGATAAAAAAAGAACAGTGCTGTTTAAAAGAGACAATGGCATTTAAATATAGATTGTTTCAACCTTGTGATTCCTTGCATTTTTTTACCACTTGTCCAAACCCAGAGAGCAAGTGCAAAAAGCAGAGACGAAACCACAGGTCTCTCTGACTATTGTGCTTTGTCTTCTTCCAGATGGAAAGAATAGATATACAAGAAAACATTTTAAACCCAGCCTGTCCTGTTGTTTTGCAAATTCTTGTGAGGGACTTGGGTTTTTGTTTTTTTTCACTTTGGACAAAAATGCATTCATACATACTTGATTAGGTAGCCTGTTTGGTTTTTAAAGAGATGCGGTGTTAATGCGACTTAAATATGTCATGTAAGAAGTATGTTAGGTCGATGTCCTAAAAGTATCCATTCTGAGGTCTTTATTTTCACTATTTAGTTTAATGCTTTACAGTCTTCAGAGCCCAAACTGCTGTCAAAACAATTTCCTGCGGCAGCAAACACAAACTAACAAATTGGACATCCAGCTCATGCACTGTGAGAGCAGCTGAGGGCTTCTGTTCAGGGTCTTCTTCCTCCCCTGTCGTTTGGCCTCTGATGGTCATGCTCAACTGCTTCTGGGAAGAGGGTTTCTTTTCTGCCTCCCTTTCACTCCCGAATGCCTCTTCCCAGCCATTCCCCCTCTTTCAGCCGATGCCACATTTTGCCACACAGGCCCTGATGCTTTTTTTGCAACCCCTCTCCGCGAGCCCCCCTCCCTCCAACCCCTTACCCCTCCCTGTGTGACTGGCTTCTTTTTGATAACTGACCCCTCCTCGTGTTATTATTCGAACCCACTATTGTATAACATGCCCTTTTATATGAGGTTTCACAAAGAGCCCATTTGATCAGAGGGTTACGGTGTGCGATCGTGAGAAATGCAACTACATGGTGGTAACCTTTGTTTGGCCCAAAATGGTGGGCTGACCTCATCGCTTTTAATGCATAGCTCGGGCCATTCAGGCCCAAGTCTCACTTGCTGAGCACATTGAATTCAGTAGCCTGTCACAGATATTGCCCCTCAGTTATCTGGGTCTGCAGCTCGAAGAAGAAGGGGGGAAAAAAAACAACAGTTTTTGGGGGCAACCAACAATGTATGCTAGCTTTCTGTCCCAAAACAACCACACAAGAGAAAAGCCAAGCAGCTTGTGAACTGATTCTTAGTGGTTTTAATATACACTCTACAATAAATATTTCCATCATTTGACATCATTTACATTTTTACAGTAAAAATATATTCATATATGTAGAAAAAAAAAAACAGGTTAAAATTTCTCCAAAATAGCCTCAGTCAAGATAGTCCACAAGAAAGTCCACAAGAAAATCCACAGATAGCTGCCGTGTCTAGCTTCATTGTACTTTTCTCTTTTAAACATTCTTTGTTGCTGAGCTGGCTAACTTCTAACCAAAGGTTTTCACTCGTAACAGATTCATTGAGCTCTTCTGTACTTTAATTTCCCCCTGATTTAATAAGTAAAAGTCTGTCCTAAAGTCTGTCTGAATTGGAAATAACTAACAGATTAGATAGTCAATGTTTACATACAATCCAGTACAAAGAATTACATAAAACGTCCACAAAATGAGGCAAAAAGTGTATGGGCACTTGACTGTAAAAGTTAATTTCTCTGGGAGCACTTGTCTTCTCTTGTAGTGGTTCCTCTGTTCATCCACAGTTCTCCCTCAGTGGTTTCAGTCCTCAGCGGCCCCCTGAGCGCTGGTGATGGGAATGTTTAGTCCGCTTGTTCAAAGGCTGCGCGGGGACAGCGAGAGGGAGGACGTCAAACGGTCTCCTCTCGTTCAGCAAGTGCCCCCTGGGGAGACGCTTCATGAAGTGGGCCTCCCTCTGGTGCTGCTTGGTCTTGGAGGCCTTCCTGGGACGGCCCTTGCGTGTAAAAGCCATGTACCAGCCCTCGTACTTGGCGTTCTGGAGTGCCGTGTAGTTGTTTTCCAGAACAATCTCGGTGAAGATGCAGTCTTTGCCTCGTCCTTTCCGCTGGGGAAAGGGAAAAAAAGTGGGGAGAAGCTGAGGTATTTTGGACAATTTCCAGGAAGCGGAAACATCGTCTTCATTTCCAGACAATCAAATACCCTTTGAAACCTTGAGAGGGCTGCTCAGACAAATCTGAAAATCAAATTTGTTCTGGCTGCGAATATGTCTCAACAATGTGTCGCCATAAGCTGCAAATCTGGAATAACATTTCCAAGAAACTAACAAACTTCAAGATGTTGCTTTAGTCATAATGCAGCCACAAAACTATGAATTCCAGATTACCTTGCCGATCAGCTTCCCCCTCTTGTTCATACATATGTAGTATCCTGTCTTCACCCCTTTAATACGAATACGACTTCCAAAAGAGTCTGTCTCCACCTCCAGTTTAGCTGCACAGACAAAACAGATCACAGATAATGAGATGACATGGTGCAGGCATGCAGATTATGATGTTACAGTGTGTGAGACAAATGACCCCGGCACGTCTTTCGTCTGAATGTATTCTTTATGTACGGCAGAGACTCTAATAAACTGGAATTACATCATTAAATGGCATTAAACCATTTTCAAATGAGCATGACTGGTGAACCAGAATCATGAAGATGACATATACATTTTCTCTAAACCCTTGTAAGATCCAGTAGCCGCCTTTAACAATGGCATGCGAGCCGTCCAAAATAGCACCAAATGATAGTGATTTTGCACGGCACGATTGTTGCTGAACGTCTGTAAATGCTGTGCTGTGATGCAGTTCGGACTGGGGATAAAGGAGAGTGAGAATACTGCGGTAGGGGACACAGCCACAAGCACAGAGCAGCGGTCAGATTTGGGCGAGTTACAAGAGTGACACCCACTTAGGATGTGTGGCCAATGTGTGCATGACTGACTCTCTCTCCCTTCTGTGTGTGTGAATGTGTGTGTGTGTGTGTAGGCCCAGAAATGTAAAAGACAAAAGAGCACACAGGAGAGGCAAGGAGAGGAAAAGGTATAAAGTGAAGATGCTGACTTCACCGCTCCTTATAAATTGAGTCATACATTGAGTTGTAATGCAATGAAAATTCCTCATAAAACGAGGCTCCAAAAAGCAGGCAGCAGGCACTGAGGAGTGGATGGATGGTGGTGGCTGCGGTGGAAAGATGGCTAGACACACCAAAATCCTTTGGTGACAGAAATCCTGCTTCCTTTTAAGTCGAAGACAGTTTTCCCCTTGCTAGAAGCAAAGAGCAAAGTCTCTCCCTGAGGTCCATCTTAACAGGTGTCAAGGACTTTCTAGACTACCAACACGCTAAAGAAATAAATCATCTTCATAAGGCCGTAAAAGATGGCAACACTGATGCCACTAACACTGTTTACAGTTGCTACTACTGTTTCTCCTGGCTCTAACATTTTCCTACAGGCTGCCAAAAACGACATCATTTATAGTGCTTTTCAACAGCGCCCCGTGCATCATTGAATTTAAACAGTCCCCGTGTTGGTGCGGGCGGACATGTTTCCTATGTTATTGTTTTCCTGAGCTTTAAACCTATTGAAATGTAAGAAACGATGGCCTTAAGCTGTCATCGGTTTTGATTCATCTGGTCATAACACACACACACACACACACACACAGGGGCTTGGAGTAAAGTTGCTCCATCATTTCAGAGACAATATAAAGTGCTGTCCCTGAGTGGGTTAACATATGTGGACCTCGGCTGTTTATTATAGAGCTGTGTTTGAATGCGTAATTATAAAAAGCCGTTTAGCTGGGCTATTCAGCAAAATATTCAAGCACTACAAATTAAATGATGTATTCTCGCGATATTTTGCACCCGTCTCTCATAAATTGACCTAACTGCGCATGTGGTGTCGCTTATTAACACTTGTTAAATGGATACTGAATTATGTTTTATGTAATTACAGTGAATAATAACAATAATTCTTTAAACCACCGCTGACTCACACCCCTCCCTGCTGGCCTTATTCTCCGGTAGTTCCCGTTTCTTACCGTGCACCGCTCCGTCATCCCCGTTGGCGTTGACCCGCTTGTTGGCCAGGACCTGGACGTGTTTCCCGCTGGTGCGGCTGTACAGCTGGTAGGTTCGTGTCAACCTGCGGCTCATCCGGTCCGACAGTCGGCTCTGCTCGGTGACATGGTGCTTGAAATTAGGAGGAGACTGCACAGTGTTCTGTCGGACAATGGGAAACACATGGCGTGAAACATATTGAAATGACTTTTTAATGTCGCAGGACTTTTTTTTTTTTTTAGTCGGGAAAGCCTGAAACATGTCAGCCGTGAGGAGACTAAAGGTTGCCAGTCAAACATCCGAGGCCCAGACCCACAGTTCATTATGTCATCCATCACGTTTAAATAATTCACCCTGCTCTTTCTTCTCTCGTTTGTTTGTGCGTGTACAGTATCTTTTTTTGGACATTCTTTCATGGACCCACGGGGATGACATTTCCCTCTGATAGGTTGTTTTTACCACCGATGATCTTTCACCCCTTCTTGGCTTCTTTTTTTCTTCCCATTTCAGCCGTTCTCCATCCACATGTGTTTTAACAATCACTTTTTAGGCTGGAGCTTACTTCTTTTCAAGATGTTTGAATAGTTGCCAATTGCCATAGCGCTCATAATAAAATGTTTTCATTGTTATTGCAGCCTATTGCAGATGTAGAGACGCTGAACTATAAGCCGCTAAGCACGGCGCCTGCATACCTGTTAACTTTTACTTACTTAATTATAGAACTTTACGCAACAGTAATGCTTTTTATTGAAGTGAAAATGTGAGTTACCTGTGCGTAAAAGCAAAGCGCCGTGAACTGAATTAACCTGAGGGGGGAAAAAGAAAAAGAAAAATTAAAAGGTCTAACCTGTTGCTCCAATACAATGAGTTCAATAGGCAACTATATTATCTTGACACCTCTTTACTTACAGATAACCTAACCTCGATGTTCTCAGCCTCATCTTGTAATAGTTCAAATATTGCTTCATGAATACTCCACTGATGCGGCGCTGGAAGCTCTCGGAAATAAAGTTCCTCCTGATAGGGATTTCAGCTCCGTTTTATCCCCCTCTTGTTACACATAGAAAGCGATAGCAGTGACAATTAAGAGATTCAGAAACTGTCAGGGTCCCATGCAGGTACAGGGTCCACTCTCCACCTTGCAGGAAAAAAGTCCAGAAGATTTAAAGGCGCTGCGGTGCCAATCCAAACTAAAAGTCCGGAGAAAGTGCCGCTGTCACCAAACGACCTCCATCAAATATTCTTCACGTCAGTCAGTCTTAAGTCGTGAAGGTCTTGATTAACGTTTCAAGTGGGAATAAATCCTCTCTGACTTTCTGTGACAGAGCATTGGCGATTATTTTTAGGTTTACGCACGGGTCTTTACGCATCAGCGGTCAGATGCGCCCTGTGAATTTCCTGAAAATTAGTGACTCAATTAAAACATGTTGAATGAATCCCACGGGTAGCAAAACGGCTTTATTCGGTTTCCGTGCAGTTGCAGCAATGATGCTACAGCTGTCCCTCTACAAGATGCACAGATAGTAAAACTCCAACGTCAACCTTCCTCCCACACGTGTGTTTCTTGTGGTCGCCTCCAGTGCACATACAGCATCTGTCTCCCTCTACATTTAAATACTTTAACTTGCGGGAAAGTCAATATCCTCGACGAGAGCAGGCGGAGCGTCCAAGCTGGAGCCAATATGAAACTGAATACTTATTAAAACACTTTGCCTGCACCTATTTGCTCACAAATCTATACACACAGAATTCAGCAATAAGTCGAAATGTATATAATTCTTCAACATTTAAGGTGGAATTGTAAACTACAGTCTATATACGCACTTTAGACCCACACACAAAATATCTAATATCAGCATGTCTTCTAAATGTTTTGAAGCATTTATTCACAATCATACACATCAATCTCATTCCTCATGCACGTGTCATGATATTAAAATGTAAAGTCGCAGTGCACTTCGTTTTCTATAAGAAGAAATGTCCACATGGAAAAATTCCCTGGCATGTACTTAAGAAAATCTACAGTTACATTAACTTATTCCCTGACTGCAGGTTAGAGGTTGTTTGGTGGTCCCTTAGGACAAACCTTGATGTACTTTTTCATCCTACATATGTAAGTAATATGTATTCCATGTGAACACATGACACAGAATGGTTTTCACATAACATCTAAAGCCTTTGCCTTGGATACAAATGCTCTCTCGCTCACAATCATTCTTCCATAACATTTCACAAACCTGGTTTGATTTTCAAAAGTGTGTCTTGGGTCTGGTCTGCTACTTTAACAGCATGGTTTCATACACTACATCATGCAATTATATTGTAATTATTCTTTGTGACAACAAAGCGGCTGGGTTTCCTTCAAGGGAACATGACTGTCATATTCGTCTGATAGGGAAGAAAGGGGGCGGTTGTAACATGGGACTCTTTGAACTCTGCCTGTCAGGAGCAAACTCTAAACTTGATCAACTGTGTAGACGCCTTCTTCAATTCGGCACAAGAAGAAAATGGCTGTGGATAAAGAATTTGAAGTAGCTTTTTCTCCTTAAATCACATATATTTTTGAACAACAGCCACACACTCTCACAGCTAATAATATAAATAAAGTACCATAGTGTAACTTTAATCTGCATTATGACTACCTGAAAGACATTTTACTCCACTTCTGACTTTGAGATAAAATACCTTGCTTCTATTTGTTTCTTTAACAGAGAGATGTTTTTAAGTCGATTTAATTTCAGTGGCTAAATAAATGAGGTGATATTCTTGGAAGTGTGAAACAATTGTTACGTCCAACCTCACTCTCTCCACTGTGCCTGTGTGTACAGATTACACAAACATTAACAAAAACAGTGACTGTAGGCGAAAGTTGAACAAAAACATCTTGCACCTCCTTCGAAATCACGTATGTATATCTGAATCCTCATGACACCATGAGGGAAACAGATATCAGGCGGTGTCAGTGTCTATACGCATGCTTTAAATCAGAACAGAAGTGCTAATCTACAGTATAGGGTTACTGACCTCAAGCCTCAAATCGGATTATTGTTCTAATGAGCCAAAACCAACTTTTGGCCATTGATTCTTCCCTTTGAGTGTTCTCTGTATGAACAGTATGGGAAACTTTTGCACCTATCATGCAGAACAGCTGTATAAGAGTATAATATATATATATAATTATGTGAGTTTGGTCAATGTCTTAGCTGTAAATCAGTCATTTCAGCCAATGCAGGGGATTTAGAGGGTGAAAATGGACCTGCCTTATTAGTTCCAGTGGGACACTGCAACAAGTGATTTTGCCACCTGGAACAATTCAGCTTTGTTCTTTCATATTTTGACCCCTTATGAAGCAATGATCGCACATCCAAATATGAAATCCACATGGGTGATAATTAAAGAGATTGAGTTTTATGAAGACCACACCATGACTCATCAAAAGTGCACGTTTGACTGTCTGAACCCACAGATTAGTTCTGTCACGAGTCATTTAAAGAAAATTTGATTAAGAAGAGGAAACCTGGAGTCGTCTAGATGGGGGGGGGTTCTGTATATTTAAAACCCACTGTAACAGTCTACTGTACATAAGTCAAACTTTACTTTTGTAGGAGTCAAGTCAGATACACACATTATTCTAGAGCAGAGCTTTTTATTCATTGAGGTAGGAAAACTGTAGCTCATGTCAGATTTAAATGGGATGAATGGATTTCATGTGATATTGCAAACTAGTGTTGGGTATAACTACAGTGATTTGATGGAAATGATCGATATTAATTTATTTAATTGTATCTGTCTGCAGAGAACATGAATGTCCTAAATCGGAAACTTCCTCAGTCTTATGTCAGTCTGCAAATGTCAGTCTTGCCATTTTAAGGCACTATTGTTTCATTAAAAAAATGCAGATACATGAATAAATTCTATCCACTAAAGTGTTGATATGCCTCTTCAAACAGGCAACTGAGTCTCATATGCTGGAATCCATGACACTATTTCACTGCATAATGGCTTTTATTCTCTCTAAGATACTTGCCAGCTTGCTTCCTTGTGTACTTTTGTCATGGCCTTGGGTCAGCCAAGACCAGACAATGACACAAGTCCTGTGTCTTGACTGCTAGGAAAGCTCTCTATTTCCCACATTCTTAGTGATAGCTGACAACAGTAGCCAGTGGGAAATTTGAGAAGAATTCAAACACCTTGAATTACTGACAGAATACGTTAGCATTAATTTCATCACAGCTGAAAAAGTACCATTTGTACTGATACTGAAAATCAACATAGGTGCATTTACTCTTATGTGATTCTTAAAGGAATAGTTTGACCTTTTTGGGAAAAACGCTTGTTTGCTTTTCTTGCTGAGAGTTATATGAGAGAATTAGAACACTCTCATATCAATTACAATGGAATTAAAGTCTATGCTCGTTGCCTCTATAGGTTGGCAACCTCACAGTGACTCCAGGAACTCATTGCACCCAGCTAAGAAATCATCCCGCACATAACCTCCAGTAAAACCACAGCGTGTTGTTTTTACACCTTGGTTTTTATATGGATTAAAGGACCAAGATATAATCTGTTAATTATTGAGTATTAGAGGTGCTGATGCCTTTGGACAGAGCCAGGCTATTCACCCTGTTTATCATTCTTTTATGCTAAGCTTTAAGCTAACCAGCCGCGTTGGCTGTACTCATATTTGAGCGTGATAAGAGATTTTTGCAATTTCTTGAATCTAACCTCCGCAAGACTTTGCAAATAAAGTGTATTTTCACCAAAACCATTGAAATTCTCTACTTACTCCACCGTCTTAGTCTTAACAGCTAATTCTCACAATACACTTATCTGTAATCCCACAAGTATTTAACTGCTTTAAAACCTTGGACTGAGAACATTTGGTCCGGTACTGTCAGTCGAGTTCATTTCTCATAGACTTCACTACAATCTACAACAGCCACTTACAATTTTAGAAACCAATTCCGTCACTGAAACTTAAAATAGCATTTAGTTTAAGGTTGACCTGTCAGACAGTTTGGCTAAAATTCTCCAGACTGTACATGAAAGCTTTTTCTCAGAAAAATGATCAAAAGCATCAATTTTTTTTCTAACGTTGTTACCATACCTCTCTAACGTCTGCTTCCGTTTACTCCTGAAGATTCTTAGTGGCCCAGCCTTTCTCTGGCCTCTTAATGAGTTTTGAGCCGAGTTTGAAGAGCTTCCAAGTTTTCCCCAGATCCCAACTTTTTGCCTTTTCTCCTTAGTCTCCCCAATGCTTCTGGCGCTTTTTCTCTCATTTGGATCACAGTTTGCTAACTAAAGCAGGCCCTGGTTATCAGCCGAATGAGGTACAAAAAACAGCAATCTTGGACCCTTGTGGAAAAAGAAATCACAAGAGAGGAACTGTCTTTGCAAAGATGCCACAATGGTTATTCTTAGAGAGGAAGGTGCTGAATGTCCTTGAAAAAGGCCCCGAGCAGACTACCATTCAGTGGAGAGGTATTATTCTTTAGCTTAATGTGAGACAATAAAAATACAACACTCTGCATAAGGCCAGAGCAATGGATAAGGTAGTACACCATAGAGGGAAGAAAAAACAGAGCGCCAAGAGGAGGTAAGAACGGGCAAGAAGGTTAACTGAGAGTGTGGTGTTGGGGTGTGTGGTAAACTGTGGGTGGCAAAGAATAATTGTGGTTGTTGTGAATTCTCAAGTGTCATCATGGTAGCAGTGTGCTCACTCGTCCAAACCTCAGCGGCTTTTTTTAGAAAGAGAAACTCCCTTCAATCAACCTGGTTTGTAATTTATCACTGCTGATTTTGTTGCAAAACAACGTGAACCACATAATGTGCTGTAACCACATTCACCCACACACAATACTTACCTGGAACTGAAGCCGAGTTCGGTAACTGGGGCAGGAACCAACATGAGAGGGATTATGGCAATCATGTACTAATTTGGGAAAAAAAAATTTAAATTTGGATGAAAATTGTACTGTAAATGACAACTTGATAAAGAAAATGGACACAATTATTATGGTAATGATTTTAGGATTGTGGCTGGTGTTTGTCCTCGTTCCAGCAATTTTGCCTTTTAAAGGAACCTCCTCCTCTAATGTAAATTTGACACAACTTTACAACTGCAGGCAATGGCTTATTGCAGAAAACCCTGATTGTACATTTAAACTATAATGGGTTACTCCACTTTTGCCTGTGTAGGTGTTATGACTTCTTCAGTATGACTCTATTAAACAGTCCACTAACATGACCTAAATTGCATCTTTGGGACCATGGGGCTAAAATTAGCTGTTGGGCCACTACTGACCCCCCATCTACGTCCATCTGTGCAATGTGTATGTCCAGTGCAACCAGTACTCCTATGCTGCAATATTACTTTAACTGCCCCTTTGCAAGACAGGGCCACAAGAATAACTCACGATGCAGGACCCAACGTAGTTAATATTGAATTGCATTGTTTTGTATTGTAGTGGTACATAATTAATTTGCAATTAATCAAATTACTAAAACTGGTTTACATGCACCCAGGGCTGTTGCTTACTTTGCTTGGTTGGTAAAATACATATTTATAATAGCAGACTTATTACCGTTTATTAAGGA